GGAGGCAGCCAATCAATGATTCTCTCTCATCACTGATGTTTCTCTCTCTCTCTCTCTCTCTCTCTCTCTCTCTCTCTCTCTCACTCCCTTCTTCTCTGAAATCAATAAAAAAAAAATTTTTTTTTAAAAAGAAAATTTTGCTTATTGAGCACCCACAATATGTCAGACACTGTTTTGAGTCACGTGAGGTAGACACTATTATCATAGATGAACTTGGACTTGAACCCAAGGAGTCCAACCAAGGGATGTGTCCCTCTCACATCGATGTTTGTCGCTGTCTCTATCCTTCCCTTCCACTCTCTCTAAAAAACAATGGGAAAAATATCTTCCGGTGAGGATTAACCAAAAAAAAAAAAGTTTTATTAAGACTACCGTGGTACTTCATGAAAACCCCAAAGAAATTAACAGCTAGGTCTCAGAAAGAAGTGTGAACCCAGAAATGAATGGCTTGACTGGGTTCTTCCTGTCCAGTCTCTAGATTTCCATCCCCATCCCATTTCTCTCTCTTCATTCTCCTTCCACAATCTGCTACAATACAAAACCTTCTAATTTCCAAGAGGAGGATAACACACTCATTTCTGTTACTTCAATGATTTCCTTGCTCCCCTTATCTATTTGGCTGACAACTCTATTAACATATTGTATTCAACTGTTTACAAGTACAGGAACCCATTATATGTGATTTTCTTACCCCCATGATGTGGTCTAGAGCTTAAAAGAGAGGACCTTCTACTAGTACATGAATCTACTGAATAAATAACTGTATCCTATCTAAATATATTAGGTATACTCCTAAAACATTAGGTATATTTCCTCTATGTAAATCTGAGGCACATGTTAAACTAATCAGCTGCATTTCTTAAAACTAAAAATCAAAATCCCACTCCATATCACTACCTATAGTTCACTGCACATCACGCACAGCTTTTTCTTTTTTTGCTTGGTTTTAAGTTACTCTATCACAGCCACCTTTGTAAGCTGCATTATATCATTTTGGAACAACATAGGAACATAAATAAAATATAAAGTAAAATATACTGCCCTGGTAAATTGTAAATTAAAAAAGTAAAGGGTGTCCCAAAATTCACGCAAGTAGTAATTTAGATAGAAAACACAGGTTTATAATTAAAAATCGTAAATATTTTATTGATTCATAAAGTATACAGTAGAGGGTTATGTATGGAATAGCATATCGGGTAAATGGCCTCCACGGCTTTGCTGGCACATACGCACTCGAATCAATAAAAAATTCAAATTTTTAATTATAAACCTGTGTTTTCTATTTGAATTACTTCTTGCATGAATTTTGAGACACCCTTTAGGTATGTACCTCACATTCATTTAATAACATAAAATTTGAAGCTAATGGGAGACCAGATGTAGATAATACATCATTTTAATAATTCTGGAAGCACTCTACTATAAAGCCTTAAAGAGAAGTTGGGGTTCAAGTTACCCACAGGCCAATCCTACAGAACTGACTAGCACACCTAGTGAAATAGTACCAAGGTCAAGTACATGTAGATGATTACCAAGTAAGGCCATAATCCCAATCCTCAATTAAACCACACCACATGTTCCTGATTACCACATATGATGCTATTCTTTCCTTTGCTAGATATTTACTAGTTTAATAAAACTAGACCTATTTTTTTCCTCCCCTTTTAGAAAAAAGCTCATAAAAATTATGGTTTCCCCCACAAGCCTTCATTTCTTATTCCCTCATTCAAGGACCAGACTAGAGATCATACTTTCAAGAAAGCCAAGTGTACTTATTGTGTTGATGAAAACTAATACATGAGATGGATATAAGAGACGCTCCTATTAATACAAACAACATTATTCACGTTTAGAGTAAAAAGTTTTTTACCCTCTCAATTTAAAAAAAACCTTGAAGGTCATTTTCCTGCCTCTTTTGGCTATTCCACACAAACTATATTTTACTATCAATTTAAAAGAGCGCCCTGACCGATGCTCAGTGGTTACAGCATTGGTCCGAAGACCAAAGGGTATTGGGTTCAATCACAATCAAGGGCATGTACCTTGGTTGCAGGTTCATCCCAGGCCCTGGTCAGGGCATATGCAGGAGACAACCAATTGATGTGTCTCTCTCACATCGTAATTTCTCTTTCTCTCTCCCCCTTCCTTCTACTCTCTCTAAAAATCAATGGAAAAAATATTCTCAGGTGAAGGTTAAAAAAGAGAGAGAAAGGCCCTAACCGGTTTGGCTCAGTGGATAGAGCGTTGGCCTGTGGACTGAAAGGTCCCAGGTTCGATTCCGGTCAAGGGCATGTACCTTGGTTGCAGGCAACATCCCTAGTAGGGGGTGTGCAGGAGGCAGCTGATCGATGTTTCTCTCTCTCTCATCGATGTTTCTATCTCTCTATCCCTCTCCCTTCCTCTCTGTAAAAAATCAATAAAATATATTTTAAAAAAGAGAGAGAGTGAGAGAGAGAGAAAGCCATGTGTGTGGCATATGCCTATAACCCCAGATACTTCAGAAGCTGAGACAAGAGGCTTGTTTAATCCTAGAAGTTCTGGGCTGTATTACGTTATGCAATAAATTCAGTATTAATATGGTAACCCCTGGGAGTGGGGGAATTACCATGTTGTCGAATGAATGGTGAACTAGCCCAGATTGGAAATGGAGCAGGTTAAAAGAGAAATACATTAGAATACAGTTCTAATACAACTTCTTACCATACTGATTTGGACAGATTTATAGAAAGCTAAAAAGGATACTAGACCTCTTCTAACCCACACCCTCAGCTCCTCTAGCAAGCCACAAATCTCATCCATTTGAAGTGGATGCTTTTTTTTTTAAATATATTTTTATTGATTTTTTACAGAGAGGAAGGGAGAGGGATAGAGAGTCAGAAACATCAATGAGAGAGAAACATCGATCAGCTGCCGCCTGCACACTCCCCACTGGGGATGTGCCCGCAACCAAGGTACATGCCCTTGACCGGAATCGAACCTGGGACCTTTCAGTCCACAGGCCGACGCTCTATCCACTGAGCCAAACCAATTAGGGCTGAAGTGGATGCTTTAAGAGCCTCAGCTAAAACTCATTTAAATATGCCTTATATGCATGTATTGTCAGATGATATAATCCTTGGGGGTAGGGGACATATCTTGGCCATTTTTCTATCTTGATGGCCAAGATTTAAGAGAAACCTAATAAATGGTTACTGAACTGAGCTGGATAAAAAGAGTCTCTGTGATTATTTTTACAAAACAGTACCACTTATCTCTTTCTTTCCTGTATTTTTCCTCTTCCATTCTCAGCTCAGACTCCTCCTTACTTCCCAGGAGAGAGCAGGTTCTACCACTGCAAGAAGAAACGTGAAGAATAATACTGTTACTTACGGGAGGACATCAGGATGGCTACCGATGAGCTTGCTCATTGAGACACAGAGTCGTTCGTGTAGATCATGGTTGACTTGGCCTCCAGCTTTAATGGCTTCAGCATTCCTTTCCAGCAAATCCAAAAGGATAGGGCGAAATTGCCGACCGATTAGAATAGTATAGTCCTTATCCAGAAGTAACTGTGCTAAGGTATTCAGGATACACTGGCGATCTTGAGGTGTCCACACCTAAGAGAAAAGCCACACAAAAGATCTATATATACAATACTAGGGGCCCAGTGCACAAATTCATGCACCTTAAAAGGAATGTGGACCTCGAGGCTGCAGTGGGCACAGGGGCAGGTCTCAGCCCATCTTCCGCGCCCCTCCTGCTGCGGCCACCAGTCCCCTCTCTGCAGCAGCTGGCGCCAGCCCTGCTCACACCTACCTACTGAAGGTGAGGAGTGATTAGGGCCGGCGCTGGCAGTGGGTGTGAGCGCTGGATGGGACCGCAGCACGCGGGAGCAAAGAATTTTCAGTAACCACCAGAGGCTTGCCCTGATGACAGTGATCTGCACCCTGCCTTGGTCTGGCACCCCGCCCACCTGCTCCACCATCCCATCAAGGCCGGCTGATGCCCACCATGTTCCACGCCGACCCCATCACAGCGACCGGTTGTTCGGTTGTTCCACTGTTCGGTCTACTTGCATATTAGGGATATATTTATATATATATATATATGATTTGTTTGCACTACTGTAGAGGAGCCAAGAGTTCTAGCCTGGAGTTAAAATAACCAGTTTCCAGACTTCAAAGGTCAGTTTACCTTATAAAACACCCTGACCAGTGTGGCTCAGTTGGTTGGAGCCTCATCCTGGACAACAAAAGGTGGTGGGTTCGATCCCCGGTCAGGCATGTGTGGGAGGCAACCAATCAAAGTTTCTCTCTCACACCAATATTTCTCTCTCTAAAATAAAATTTAAAAAACAACAACAAAACACAGCGGGGGTTTTTAGCAATATAGGATTAGAGTTAATTAATGTAAAGGCTGTTACCAATAGGTCCCTGGGGTTTCAGGTAAAAGGACTAATAGCAAATCCATGTAAAATACTATACAGCTTCTCTGAAAAATAATCTGTGCTTCAGGGTCAAAACACTCTCCCAGGGCTCCTCTGCTCTTGAAGGAAAATATAGGAATTAAAAATTTTTAAAACTGCAGTTGGTACACAAAACTGCCAACTCTCTTGAGGAAAGGGTAGAGATTAAGAAATCAATTCTTGGCCCTAGCCGGTTTGGCTCAGTGGATAGAGTGTCAGCCTGCGGACCGAAGGGTCTGGTTGCAGGCTTGGTCCCCAGCATGGGGTGTGCAGGAGGCAGCTGATCAATGATTCTCTCTCATCATTGATATTTCTATCTCTCCCCCTCTCCCTTCCTCTCTGAAATCAATAAAAATGTATTTTTTAAATGTTAAAAAAATCAATTCCTGAATATAAATAAAGCTATCCCTCTAAAGGCTCCAGCCTCTAATAAACAAACAAAACAAATCCAAAATAGACAATCACACTTTGATATGCAAGATGAAATACACCACAAAATTCTGGTGCCTGGGCTCCGAATGTCCATTAAGCAGAATAGGGGAAACTGTAGTGTATAAAAGGTTTGATGTTGCTAGAGTGTATGCAGGACTGTAAAACCCTTGCTGTCAGACAAAGCGACATACCCTCTGACCTAGCAAGCCCAATACTATAAATTTATCTTAAGGAGTTACAAATTAAACAGTTATCTATAATGGTGCGGCTTGAGCCCCAACCGGTTTGGCTCAGTGGATAGAGCGTCAACCTGCAGACTGAAGGGTCCCGGGTCCAATTCCGGTCAAGGGCACGTACCTTGGTTTCAGGCACATCCCCAGTAGCGGGTGTGCAGGAGGCAGCTGATCGATGTTTCTCTCTCATCGATGTTTCTAACTCTCTATCCCTCTCCCTTCCTCTCTGTAAAAATTCAATAAAATATATTTTTTTAAAAAGAGTGCAGCCATATGCAAAAACCTAACAATTTTTTCCAAAGTTATTACTCTGAAAAGAAGTTACCTTACCCCAGAACTCTTACAAAGTCTCCCAAATTATTGGGCATTCTCTTCATAAAAACACCTAATTTTGAACAAAGCACTGATGGGAAAGAATATTATCTTAAAACAAGTTCTATCAATATTAGTTCTGCTGTTTATAGGGGGCCACCCAAAGGACCTCATAAAAATGGAGGCAAGGAAATTTAACAGATTTGGCCATGATATACAGAGGCATGACCTCACATTTTCAACTGCCGAATGTCCCTATAAATAAGCCCCCAAAAGTATATTTTTAAAATATAAAAACAACAGTAATATAGTAAGTGGTTATTCTGTGAAGAAAAAAAAATCTCTATCTACAAAATAAACAAACATAACATGTCTAATTTCCTCAGATTAATACAGAGCATCTACAGAAACCTAGCCAGCATCATAGGTTTAAAAGTGGGTAAAAGGGCCCTGGCTGGTTGCTCAGTGGTTAGACGGTTACAGATGCTTTGCATCAACCTGAGGAAATTAGACATGTTATTCACACGGACACTTGTGAGCTAGGAAAAAACCTCCAGAGGACATTATTTAACCAACTTTTTCCTCAAAAGGAAATCTAGAAAACTGTGTTAGACATCTAGAAACAGATGTTCAACTTTTTTTTTAAAATATATTTTATTGATTTTTTTACAGAGAGGAAGGGAGAGAGATAGAGAGTTAGAAACATCGATGAGAGAGAAACATCAATCAGCTGCCTCCTGCACATCTCCTACTGGGGATGTGCCCGCAACCCAGGTACATGCCCTTGACTGGGATTGAACCTGGGACCTTTCAGCCCATAGGCCGACGCTCTATCCACTGAGCCAAACCAGTTTCGGCTATGTTCAACTTTTTAAAAATCAACTTTATTGGCTTTTATAATATAACTTATATACAATAAAATGCAGCCATTTATATTTGGATGAGTTTTGAATATGTATACACTGTGTAACCTCCTCCTCAATTAAAATATCAAATCCAAAGTTCCCTCAAGTTCCTTTGCAGTCAACCCCCTCACCCTAGACAACCAATGACTTGATTTTATGGCCATAGATTACAGATTTGCCTATTCTAGACCTTTATATAAATCGAATCATATGGTATGTACTCTTTCCTGTCTAGCTTCTTTTGCTCAGTATTGATGCTTTTGGTAATAGCCATGTAGTTGTATGCTTCAATAGTTTATTCCATTTCACTACTGTCTAGTTTTTCACTGTATAAATATATTACAACTTGTTTTTTCATTTACATGTTTGATGGATATTTTCACTGTTTCCAGCTACCAACAATAAAACTACTATGGACACTCATGTACAAGAGATTTATGGACATGAATATCCATCACTCTTAATCTTTTTCATTAACTAAGAGCAAGACATGTTGAGTTATATGGCAACTGAATGCTTCAACAGATAGTAAATTTTAATTTTAATTTAAAAAATTTTTTTTCGATGTTTAAAAGAAACTGTTTTCTAAATCAGTTGTACCAGTTTACACTCCACTAGCAGTGTTTGAGAGCTCTAGTTGCTACATAACCCACCAACACACAGTATTGTCAGTCTTAATGTTAGAAGAGATCTAGTGGTATCTGGTGGTTTTATTTGCATTCCCCTGACGACCAAAGAGGCTCATAATTTTTTCAAGTGTTTATGGTCATTCATTTATCTTCTTTAGTGATGAGTTTTTTCATTTCTTTTACCCACTTTATTTTTTTTAGGGGGGTGTGGGGGAATCAATCCTTACCAAAGGATAGTTTTTCCCACTGATTTTTAGAGAGAGTAGAAGGGAGGGGAGGAGGGGGAGATAAAGAGAGAAAAACATCAAATGTGAGAAAGACACATTGGTTGTCTCCCGCCCATGCCCCAATCAGGCCAGTGCCTGGGCTAATGCTCAAACCACAGAGCAAAACGAGCCAGGGCTCTTTTACCCACTTTTAAATCGGGTTATTCATATATTAAATATGCTAGTCGGGTTTCTATAGATGCTCTTTATCAACCTGAGGAAATTTTGTTCTATTCTTAGCTTGTTTTTGTTCTTCTCCTATCTTGTCTTTGTCTTTAAAATGCTCCTTTCTTACTAACTAGTCTGATTAATCAGCAAAAAAAATTGTTCACATTAGTCACTTACCTTCTTATTCTTTTTAGAATCTATAATGATGGCCTTCTTTCATTCCAAGTAGTTTGAATTTTCCCCTTTTATTCTTGATCAGTCTTTTCAAAGAATCAACATTTGGTTTCACCGAATTGCTCTATTATTTATCCATTTTCTTTTTCATTAATTTCCACTCTTTATTATTCTCTTCCTTCAACTTATTTTGAGTTTAATGTACTATTCTTTTTCTAATTTCCTAAGGTGAATTTTAATACCACTATTTCCTAAGAATTTTAATGTTATGAATTTACCTCTAAATATTTTAGCTATATCCCACAAAGTGTTTAAAGTATCATTCAATTCAAAATATTTTCTGATTCTCCCAGTGATTTCTTCTTTAACCATCAGTTTTTTCTTTTAATTTTATTATTTAATTTATAACATTTAGGATTTTTTCCAGTAACTTTTGGGTTGATTGTTTGCCCCCTTAATTTAATTTCATTGAGGTCACTGAATATACCTGTATAATTTCAATTATTCTAAATTTATTAAGACTTGTTTAATGGCCCAGCTATCTCCCTTCTGGCTGGGGAGGAGAAGTACAAACCATTTACTCTAAAGTATCCTTGGCTTAGGGAAGATAGGATTTACTAGGTGGCTGTAAACTGCTGTTTATCTTAGTTTCCCCATCTGTTTGTCCTAGAACAGTGGTTCTCAACCTTCCTAATGCCGCGACCCTTTAACACAGTTCCTCACGTTGTGGTGACCCCCAATTTCATTGTTACAAATTGAACATAATTAAAGTATAGTGATTAATCACAAAAACAGTATGTAATTATATATGTGTTTTCCGATGGTCTTAGGCAACTCATGTGAAAAGGGTCATTCGACCCCCAAAGGGGTCGCGACCCACAGGTTGAACCGCTGTCCTAGAATTTTCCTAGCTTCTCACTATGCTACCACGAGGGGGCTAAGGTCACAAAGCTAGCTTCAGAATCAGGAATCCATGACACAGAGTCGGCCTCCAGAGTCCCTGCTTTTACTACTCTCTATAACTCTTTAGATTCTACCATGTGAAATATATCAAATTGAGACTTACGGGTATTAAGTAACTTTTCCAAAAAGTCCCCAAAAGCAATTAAAGAGAATTAATTTTATCTCCAGCCATACTTCGTACTCATGCACCCTAAACACTCTGCTCTTCCTAAACATAGTGATCAAGGAGGTAAGGATATGTGATATTACAAATTATAGTAAGAAATATTATTTGGTCTTTGACCCTATCCCAGGCACAGACCTCCTGAAACCCTTGGAATTTCCTGTGATGGAATAAAAGTGTCATCCCTTATGTTAATGAGGTTTCTTTTTAAAAGCTGCCCAAGTTGGGGCTGGATAGAACCAGCCAACTACAGGGAGGACAAAGGGGCTAGAAAGAGATCAATCACCAATGGCCAAAGATTTAAACAATCATGGCTATGTAATGAAGCTTCCATAAGTATCTAAAGGGACATGATTTGGAGAACTTCTGGGTTGATGAACAGATGGACAGGGTGGCACACTCAGAGCATGGACGCTCCAAACCCCTTCCCATATACCTTGCCCTATGCATTTCTTCCATCTGACAGTTTCTGAATTATCCATTTATAGTAAACTGGTAATCTAGTAAGTAAAAGGTTTCTCTGAATTCTAGAAATCGCCCCAGAAATTAATCAAACCCAAGGAGGGGGTAGTTGAAACCTCCAATCCACAGGCGGTCAGAAAGATAAGTAACAACAGGTCTTGCAATTAGTATCTGAAGTGGGAGCAGAAGGGCAGTCTTTACAGGACTGAGCCCTTCACCTGTGGGCTCTGAAGCTATCTTCAGGTAAAAAATGTTAGATTTGACTTAAATTGTAAGACACACGGCTGGTGTCTGAGAACTGCTTGGTGGTGTTGGAAAATCCAGACTGAAAGTGGAGAATTGTAGGATGGTAGTGGTAGAAATGAAGAGGACAGAATAGATTCAACACTGAGAAAGTAAAATCAGGAGACCTTGGCTATATGTAAAGGAAAAAGAATGATGACGACCCTCAGTTCTCTATAAAATATGACTGGATAGAGGGGGTGATGTCACCAGCTTAATAAGGAACACTGGAGGAAGCACAATCCTAAAAAATTCTTAATGCAGATACCAAACTCAGATGAGAAACAGTACAGTGGGGCCTTGACTTACGAGTTTAATTCGTTCCGAGACCGAGCTCGTTAAGGAGCTCCTTAACTCAAATTACTCTGTCAACTCAAAGCAAAAAATCTGCGGAGAGACAGCTGGTGTATCAAAAAACTCCGGTTAGTCGGGACACTGGTAAGTAAAGGCCCCACTGTATTTCAAAAATCCTTACTTGCCAATAAAAACCATTTTGTTTCCAAAACCAGGAGAAAAACAGAATGGCAACACAATCAACTCTTTTCTGAAATGGAAAGAAACAAACCTGAAAGATATCTGAGACAGGACAGAACTTGCAGGCAATGTGAGGCAAAGAAAAGGAAGGCAAGTGGTCCCAATAACATTACTAATACGGTTTCCTACAAACCATTTCCCCACCCTGCTCCCAGTACACATGAACACCAACTTTGCATCCACTCAGTGAGTGGTGTGGAATCATAAATCCCGTGTTGCTGGTCTGTGGTCCCTAGATTCAGAACCTCTGCTAAATTCTAAAGCCTATTTACATTAAAAAAAAAAAAAAAAAAAAAACCTCCAGCAACAATACATAATTCCGGAGCTTGTCACAAACTCAGCTCATTTGAACTGATGATGTCTTTCCTGACTCCAGCACACCAAAAATCAATTTTCTTTCTAGGCCTCCCCCATTTGTGTTAGTGATTTCCTTCACTGGCGGCTCAAGGCCAGAAACCCCAGGGATATTTTCCACATCTCCCTCCTCTTTGCTTCACACGTTCCATTTGA